ATTCGTAGATGGGTAAGAAAGATTCGTTGTAAAAAATATCAAGAAAGAGAAATGTGCAGAGTGGTTAAAAGAAACTTATCTCCGTAGAAAATGTAATTCCTGAGCTCATAAAATTTTTTTTTGATCAATTTCTTTTGCAATAGATACAGCTGAAAAAACTACTAAATAAAAGTGTCTTTCTTTTGAAGATATTTCTACCGTTAGTTAGAGGAAGAAAAGAAATTGAAAAACATATAAAATCTATTTCAGAATGAAACAATGTTCTCTATTTTTTGATCTTTTGTAAAAATTCAATAGTTCCATAACAAAACAGTATGATAATCGAAAATTCTCAGATTATATTTCTAGATGTTGACAGATTGAGTAGATATAAATTATTGTCAGTTTGCTAAGATTATCAAAATATCTGTACAATAGCATGATGGTGTAATTTTTCTTAAAGCAATGTATCCTACTAATTTGATTCCTTTGTCAATTAAATTACTATCACCGTCAAACTAGAATGAACACGAATATTATTTGAATAACTCGAGAATGAAAGCAACTCTATTGATCTGTGCAAGATCGAACTCGATAACCTACTCCATTCAAAAGGTATAACGATTTTCCTGAAATTCTTGATTTTGGCCTATTGACATTATATATCCCCAAAATAGGTCTATCACATGAGTAATTGATCATGTTAAGTGGAATGGTGATATTCATTCGTGATATCAAAGTCATCGAAAATCACTATGGTGAAATTTGTGAAATTTTAAATTTTTCTAATACATCACGTAAGCTGCTGAATTCGACTTAACATGATCAATTACTTCTGTGATAGACCTATTTTTAGGACATAAAACGTCAACAGACCAAGATGAAGGATTCCAGACGAAGCCTAATAAATTTTGAATGAAGTGGGCTAACGAGCTGGGTCTTGCATAGTGCAATAGAGAACAATTGTTCCTGTCGAATGATCATTTGGAGCCACAAAAAAAAGACGGAAAAGCCTTCCGAAATCGATATTTAAAATTTCGCACAAGTAATTACCATATTGGTTTGTTGAAAGTCAATCTAGTTTCGGCCTATCTTAATTTTCTCCACATTACTCTTTTAAATAGTGAAAACCGTAGATCGTTAGGTGCTTTCATTCTTGAGTTATTTGCATAATTCCAAACAAGGTACTGTATAATAGAGAAGCACGAGACAGTAATCAGCATTAAACTAAAATAATCGTATGAGGATGAAAAAGTCTCTGAAAAGCAATCGTTTTGAAATTGAAATGTTTTCCATAGTGAGTATACTACTTATTCTATAACTAACTACACTAAATTTGAAGACACCAGTAACTTTTAGAGAAAGAGATGTATTGCTTGCTCTCCAAAGAAAATATACCGTTCCAGTATATATTTCATATTTAATGAATTTATTATTTGTTTCTAGTTATATTGGAACTTTTTTAAAATGAATATATTTGCATTTCGTAGATTTTCTCTAGTTATATCTATTGCAGAAAGAATTTTTACAAAAAGACGATACGTACTATTTCTTTGATCTACTTGTATTTTTGTATAGAAAACTAGTGGTAAGTCTATTCACATATGACCAACAAATGGTGATATTTAAAATGATATCAGTTGTATTTTATAGATAGATAAAGAATACAAAAGTTTTGCATTCATTTTGTCTCTTTTAAATTTTCTCATTGATATATTATACTAGAATATCAATTTTCTTTTTCTAAAGTTCTTTGATTAAGAATTTGAGCAAAATAACTTTATTCAATAGTCATAATTTATATATTCAACTGTTTTCTAGCAATAAATGAAAACAGTTTATTAGCAAACTTTGTTCACATTATATATGTACTTATTAAATATGTTTTTGTCTGTAGCTTGTGAAACAGAAGGAATATTGAATTAAAAATATTTTTATGCAATAGTATTTAGATAGAATTGGTTCAATAATATAAATTTCTAAACAAAAAATGACTTAGGGGAAACTCAATATGCTTCTGAAATAACATGGAAGTGAGAAAAATTTGATCGTGACATAAAATTATTAATTTAGTATTGTCTCATGCCAGATTAGATTTCTATGGAATCGTTTCCGATGAGTTCTCTACATTTATTTGAATCATTCTAAAACCGATGCTTTAGCTGAAAACTTCACTAATTGCAGCTTATTGGTCGGATCATCTGTAATAAAATTCATACTAGTGAATATTGGGATCGTATTTCTTTACCCTTTTCTACGGCTCGTAACATAATCATGAGATTTCCATGACAATAAGAGAATAAGAATAAGAGTATGCTGCCTTTTGATGTAGAAGATTAGTCAGAAGTAGTTTTATTGGCTCGATCTCTTGCCTAAAAAGGTTCGCATGATACCGAGTTCTTCCGCTTAATTATTTGAGTTCTGCCACAAAACTCGTTGTATGTTACATGTCGTTAAGGTGCTTTCAGACGGGTGATCCGAGACAAACGGCCGTTCACGACTTGTCTAAAGTCATCCCAAGATTGATAATTTCGAAATTATAATGCAGTAGTCTTGATGTAACGTGTCAAACAACTTAACTAACGTACGATGCAAAAGTAATGGCACAAGTTGTCGATCCCTATTTCTCTTCAATAAAATGGTGTTGTAAGAAAACATTTTTTAACCAAACAATCGAGCTTTTTCTCCTCTTTCAAAATGTATATAACTTATTTTTATAACATGTTCATAAACGAAACGACGTAATAGAAAAGAGAATCAACCTTAAACCGAATCTGCACTATTCATGAGATTCAGAAAAACGACGTAAAATATTGATTTCTATATCTTTTTGATAATTCTTCGATGAACACGTTTCGAGAAGAATATTTTTTTTTATCAGTGATAGAAAATTTTCTCGTCTTTCAAACAGTGTATGATTCATGTTTGTCACGCATTGGTAAATGAAATGATACGCGAGAAAAAGAGAAACACTAGCGCAATAAATTAGTGATTTTTATATGAACTCGTCAAACACATCTTGTTAGACAAAAATAAATTCGATTTTTATGGACTCATTAAAAGCATTTTGTAAAACACAGTTAATTATAATTAACTGTCATCTACAAGATGTTTTTGACAAATTCATATAAAAAATACTCATTTATTGCGCGCATGTTTCTCTTTTTCTTTCGTCTCGTTTCACTTACCAATGTGTGTCACATATGAATCATACACTACTTGAAAGACGAGAACGTTTTTTACTAACTGATAAAAAAAAAACATTCTTTTCAGAACTTATTTATCGAAGAGATATAAGGATCGACATTTTATGTGTTTCTTTATAGAAAAAGTACAGATTTTTTCTAAAAGGGTACTTCTGTTTCTGTTGCGCCGTTTCGTTGATAAACATATTATTAAAATAAGTTATATACGATTCAAAAGAGGAGAAAAAGCTCTATCGTTCGATTAAAAAGGTTTTCTTTCGACACCTTTTTATCGAAGAGAAATAGAGATTGACATTTTGTTCCATAACTTTTGCATCGTACGTTACTTAACCGCAGCGGTTCTCGAATATAGGCAAGATTTCTTTTTTCGAATATTGAGAAGAATAAAGCCTTCCAGTAACAATCAGTTTCTTCTTTTACTATTATCAGAAAAAAACACTATTATATCGGATGCTAAAGTATTTATCTTCGTACAGATTATTTCACTTGCCTGAAGTTATCGATATGTTAAAGATCTACTATCAATAAAAAACAAATATTACAAATCAACAATTCGCAAACTCTTAAGTAGGTTTGTTGATCTTATTATTCTAATTAAGTCTTTTTCGACTAACTTTTAGCACATCTAAATAAAAATGCAAATTTCTAAGACAACGATAGATAGATATTTCATTTTATAATTTTTTTCCATTAAATTACTCGCTTTCACATTGAAGAATTTCTATGATGGCAAATGTCGGAAAAAATTTGGTTCGAAACGAAATCGATCAAAAATATATTGTAAATGCTACTAAGAGTCCGGTGATAATATTAAAATCTGACGATCGTCGGTATGTCTATTTTCTTGCAATTTTTATCAATGCTTTTTTTTATTTGTCTTCCTTAATAGATTTTTTTGCTGGATAATACCAAGCTATTGGATGCGTATTATTTGGCTTACCTTCTTTGCAATTATCATAGTAACGATTGGTATTCTGACGGTTTGTTTTACTTCGCCGAAAGTATCAAGTATGTTCAATATAAATTTATTATTTATATATCTGTTACTGGTATTATGTAAGAATTCAATTAATGAGTAAAGAATAATGAAAATGTTTCGAATAAGAACAAATATAAAATCGATTTTTGTATTACATGGTTTTAATATTTCGATCAATTAATAAGTAATATCTACAAAATTGTTGTACTACTGATAAAAAAGTATTTACAGGTCAGATTCAAAAGAAAAACACTTCTTTGAAGTATCATTAATGACTTCAATAAAGAAGTGTCACCTTTCATGAGTTATGAAAAAGCAATAGAATGATTTTCTTGGGCAAAAGTATTTTATAGATCATTTTTCTCAAAAAAACCCTCCTGATAGTTTCTTCCTCGAATTAATATCTTCTTATTCCAAGTGCTCTATCTGTATTAAAAATTTCAATCTATTCAGTTGTACTCTTTTTGAAAATCACATATAGTCACACGTCTTGTTACTCATTGTATCCTGACAGTTTTAGCTATAAAAAGTATGAATTCGTTGAGAAAAACTGCAATATGATTTTTCCATAATTCGTGAAAAGTTACAATTCTTTATTAAAGTCATTGATAATACTTCAAAGTAATGTTTCTTTTATGATTATGATCTATGAAAACTTATTTTTTATCAGTAGTAAAAGAATCAGCACATATTTGATCAAAATATAGGGGAGATATTCAAGTTGTTTTCTTCAGTAAAGTGACTTTTGGTGCAGTCTCTTATAGTTCCTTGAATTTTTGTTGCTTTTGATTCTGTTGTTGAGAACACAGATTTTAGTATAGAGTTTATAATTCAGAATGAAACAAAAGAAAATAATCTCATTAATTATTTGGAAGTTCAATTATGCACTTTATTTAGATAAAAAATGTGAACTTAGTTTCAAACACATTATTCCAACATCATCTGACTATGATTCAAGTCCACATTCGGTTGCCATTGGTGATTTTAATAATGATAATTGGTCGGATATTGTTGTTGCAAATTATAATACCAATAATGTGGGAATATTTCTTGGATATGCTGATGGTAGTTTTGGAAATCAGACAATTTTCTTTACCGGTTCTAATTCACATCCAACTTCTGTTGCTGTTGACGATTTTAATAACGATAATCAATTAGATATTGCTGTAGCCAATTTTGGTGCTAACAACGTAGGTATACTTATTGGGCATGGTAATAGTACCTTTACTGAGTACACTAGAATTTCACTTGGTTCTTCACGTCCATGGGCTTTGGTAGTTAAGGATCTGAATAAAGACAATCGAATGGATATCATTATTGTTAATTATGGTACTAATGATTTAACTATTTTGTTCGGATCTAGTGATGGTTCATTTCGAAACTCAATGCATTATTCAACTGGTTATGACTCTCGTCCGTATTCTATGGCAGTAGCTGATCTTAATAATGACACTCATCTAGATATTGCAATTAGCACTTATGGTACTAGTGATGTCGGAATTTTTTATGGATATGGAAATGGAACTTTTCAAAATCAAATAAGATATTCAACTGGTCGTGAATCGAATCCATCTGGCATTGTCATAGCAGATCTTAATAGAGATGATATATTAGATATTGCTTTGGTTAATTCTGGAACTGATAATATAGCTATTTTTCTTGGATATGGCAATGGGAATTTTACAAAGCCAAGAATATTTTCAACTGGTTCAAATTCTCATCCATCTCACATCACAGTTGGCTATTTCAATGAAGATAATGTGCTAGATATTGCTGTAACTCATGAGGGTGCTGATAGTTTAGGTGTACTTCTTGGTAATAAAGATGGAACTTTTGCAACACAAAGTGCTTATTCAACTGGCTTTGGTTCTCATCCAAACTATGTAACTATAGGCGATTTCAATAGAAACAATCGATCGGATCTTATCATTGTTAATACAGGTATTCATAATATACTTACACTTGGTTCCTATGCGAATAATTTGTCTATGGAACTAACAACATATTCAACAGGTGAATCTTCGAGACCGATGTTTGTCACCGTTGGCGACTTTAATGGTGATCATCATTTGGATGTTGCTATGGCCATTGTTGACAATATTAATATATTTCTTGGCTATGGAAATGGAAGATTTTCAAATAAAATGAAGTATTCAACTGGAAAAAATTCATATCCGTACTCACTTGTCACTGCTGATGTCAATCAGGATAATCAATTGGATATTGTTGTAGCTAATAGTGGCACAGGAAATGTTGGCATATTTCTTGGATATGGAAATGGAATGTTTGCCGAGCAAAAGACATATTCAACTGGAGATAATTCAGGTCCGACATCGATTGCCACTGGTGATTTGAATGGTGATTACCGATTAGATATTGCAGTGGCCAATTATAATGTTCATAGAATATGTATACTTTTCGGTTATGGTAATGGATCATTTGTCGATCAAGAAACATATTTGATTGGAACTTTTCTATATCCCAACTCGATTGTTGTTGGTGATTTTAATGGCGACAAACGACTAGATATTGCTGTTGCTAATATGAGAGGTGATAATATTGGCATATTTTTGAGTTACGGTGATGGAACTTTCAGAAGCGAGATATTGTATTCAACTGGAAAAAATTCTTATCCGTATTCAATGATCGTTGCTGATTTCAATAATGATCGTCAACTAGATATTGCTGTGGCAGAATATGCTATTGACAAGATTGCTTTATTTCTTGGATATGGAAATGGAAGTTTCGCTGAGCAGGTTCAATATTCAACGGGAGACGGTTCTCGTCCTACTTCGATTAATGTTGGCGATTTCAATAATGATAGTCGATTAGATATTGTCGTAGCAATTTCTGATTATATTGGTATATTTTTTGCATCTGATCATGGAATATTTACAAAACAGATAAAGTATTCAACGAATATTGAATCAGCACCACAATCAGTGATCGCTGGTGATTTCAACAATGACAGCCGGTTAGATGTGGCTGTTGCGCTTTATGGTCCCGGTAATTTGGGCATACTCATTGCAAATTTTTCTGCAAATTTCGACATTCAAAGAAACTATTCAACTGGATCTCGTTCACATCCTTCGTCAATTGTAATTGCAGATTTAAACAATGATACACAACTGGATATTGTTGTGGCTAATGTATTTGATGAAAATTTCGCTATTCGTTTCGGCTATGATAATGGAATATTTGCACCTGAAACGACCTATTTCACTGGCTCCGGCTCTCGTCCACAGTATATCACTGTAGATTATTTTGATAATGATAAGTCATTAGATATCAGCATTGTCGATCCGAGCAATAATCGTATTGACGTATTTTTGGGGGATAAAAATGGAAGTTTTAATAAACAAGTGACTTATTCAACAGATGATCTATCCAGACCATGTTCATTAGCTGTTGGTAATTTCAATAAAGATAATTGGATAGATATTGTTGTTGCAAATGAAGGTACAGATAATGTTGGTATATATCTTGGATATCATTATCCTAGTTTTCAAGATCCAGAAATGTATTCGGCTGGCAATGTTGCATATTCAAGTTTTATTGCTGTTGGTGATTTCAATGAGGATCATCACGTGGATCTTGCAGTGACCAATACTTTTGATAATAACATAGGAATATTTCTTGGACTTGGTAATGGAGCTTTTGCAAGACAAACTACATATCCAACCGGTGAGTTATCTGCTCCAGACTCAGTCACTGTTGCTAATTTTAATGATGATAGTCACGTTGATATTGCGGTAACCATTAACGGCAATATTGGTATATTTCTTGGATATGGTAATGGAACGTTTATGAACATGGTCACATATTCAACTGGCTATAACTCAAGACCACAATCAATCGCTGCTGGCGATATCAATGGTGATCATCAACTTGATATCACAGTGACCAATTCTGAAACTGACCAAATCGGCATTTTTCTTGGTTATGGGGATGGAACTTTTGCAAGACAGATCGAATATCCAACTGGAATGATTTTTTCTCCAGAAGCAATCTATGTTGCTGATTTAAATGGTGATAATCGATCTGATATAGTAGTGACTGTCTCAAATTATGTTGGCATTTTGCTTGGATATGGTAATGGAACGTTTGCGAGTATGATTATCTATTCAAATGAAGATAGATCAAAACCAAAATCGATCACAATTCATGATTTCAACAATGATAATCGATTGGATATTGCAGTGATCAATCATGATCCAGACAGTGTGGGTGTATTTCTGGGTAATGGTAATGGAACTTTTAAAAAGCAGACAAGATATTCTACTGGAGAGAATTCAAAACCACAATCGATTGCTGTTGGTGATTTAAACGGCGATCAATGGCTAGATATTATTGTCACGAATGGTTTTAAAAAAAGAGTCGGTCTTTTTTTTGGATATGCCAACGAAACTTTCACTGAGCAAAGATCGTTTTCCACTGGTATTCAGTCTTTTCCACGGGGAGTTATCGTTAATGATTTTAACAGTGATGGCTTGTTAGATATTGTTGTGGCCGATTCTTTCACTAGTATGATTCAAGTATATCTTGTAGATAGTATTAGATTGTTTGACACAAAAACAACATATTCAACAGGTAATGAATCACGGCCATGTTCAGTTGTTGTTGCTGATTTGAACAATGATGATCGAATCGATATTATTGTTGCTAATAAAGGTACAAACACTATTGGTATCTTTCTTGGCTATGACAATGGTACTTTTGCAAATCTAATTACATATTCAACTGGAGAAAATTCTAATCCTTGTGCAGTCGTTGTACATGATTTCAATAATGACGATCGATTAGATATTGCTGTAGCTAACTCAAATACGAACAATGTAGGTATCTTATTGGGACATGGAAATGGAACTTTTGCAAATATTACTACCTATCCAACTGCAGATGGTTCTCAACCATGCTCGATAGCTGTAAGTGATTTCAACAATGATCATCAACTGGATATTGCTGTTGTTAATTCCGGTACTAACAATGTAATGATTCTACGAGGAAATGGTAATGGAAGTTTTGTATTTGATTCTTTTATCGCCATGGGGTATGAAGCTCGCCCGAATTCTATTGGAGTTGGTTATTTCAATCAAGATCATTGGATAGATATAGCTGTCGCAAATTATGGTGCAGGAAACATCGAAATTCTATTGAAGAAATGCTGAAATCGTCGTCTATTTTTCTAACTGTTATTTCTTTTTCTATTAGAGTTTCAATGTAATTATTCGATTATGTCGCTATACAATACATTCGAGTAACTTTATTATTTTTTTATCTTTAAAGAAACAAGGAGGTTATGAGCGTACAACAATACTCTCGCTTATCTGTATATTTCTGTCTGCATAATTAGTATTTGCAATCTATATAAATTGATGAGTTCGTCAGGCTAAAATGTTCAATCAAATTACTATCACTGTTACATATTTGAATACTGTTGGATCCTATCGAGAACCAGCATCCATCACACTTATCAATCGTCGATTGGTTACCAACACTTGATAATATTACTGATTGTGCGCATTGAGTGACAGCGTTTCCTAACAGACAGGTATTTTATAAACAAATAAGACCCATTGTTTAGAAGTATGATGCTGCGTAGTCCTTTGATATTCGATAATATTCGTCATGATATGTAATGTTCCAAAGGGGGTTTCCACTTTAATACTGAACTTCTGCGAGTAAGAAGCAAATATCGATGCATCAATAAGATTCAAATATTTAGTCGTTTGCTCTATTATTGTCACAGAATCTTGATTATCAAATACAAGAGAACAAGGGGTAGCTACGTTAACATAGATCGGTGAAGCGTTCTGAAGCTTGCTCAATAAAGCATTCAAATCAGGCATACAACATTGACTTTGACTCATATTGGGCAGTGTCTGTTTAGGAAAGTATAGAAAACCGTGAAGAATCGTTTGAATATCATAGGTATTGACATGTGTTGTTCGAAAAACAGTTAAGGACTGAACTGAAGGGCGGTCAATGAATGAAATGCGACTAACAGTGAAGAGAACATTATATGAACATGAAACAAGCACAACATTACGCATTATGGAGTAAACTTAACTGAGAAATACAATAGGAATATGTTGGCATTTTATTTATTTGTCGTTACTCATTGTTTAACGAGAAGTATTATTGAAAAAATTTTTCATCCCATCTTTGGCCATTGAATGATATTCCTTGTTTCTATCCAACCGGAGAATAAATAACACCCGAATGATGTCTTTTGTTTATTCATGTAGCAACGGATAGACTTTGTTGTGGAGTTGTTCTGCTTCTCTTGGTTTCGGTAGTTTCCTGCAGAACACATATTGAACGCATTATATATCTTTGTCGATACGAGCGGTCGTCCGTCTAGAATTTTCTTCGTACTCATATTTTCATTGCAATAAATAATTGCGTCACGAAAATGAAGAATTCATTAAATTCAAACAATTTCTCAATTATGGAATGTGGATGCGTTAGTCATTGTAGATGAGCGTGCATCTCTCTTGTACACTGACAAGCATATTGACCCTCAAGGTCGAATACGCATTGATCGAAAGAAAGTGGTCAAAAGTTCAACAGTTGCCAGTATATCAACAAACAATTCATTTAGTGGAATTTTTAGGTTATTTGATTGGCATGAAGTGATACTTCAAGAGAACTTTATACTGTTGTTTATATGGATATTTAAAAATAAATTTTACATTTAACTTTGAGATGACTATAGAAAAAAAGATATTTCAATCCTCGAATATGCACTATCAATGCTTATCGTCATCGGAATGTCAATATAAAAATAAAAAATAAAAACACAATTAGAATTTCGATTCCTAAAATGTGTCCTTGAAATCGGCGTTCTGATAATATTAAACCAGATAAATGATATAATTTATTTTCTAGAAATTTTAGTATCTTATTTTTGAACATTGTTAATTATGCGTTTTTTTTTAGACAATCAATCACTTCAAAAGATAAAACAACAATGACAAAATATTTGCTGTTAACCAGTTGTGTAATGCTTTCATTGATAAAGCATCATATTGAGCTGAAATTTGTGCCAATATAAGGAGTACTTTGTTACACATAGAAATACATTTCAGTATTATATATCTCTCTTAGTAGTGGGAATTAGAGCATTTCTGCATATGTATATAGCAATCACTTTTCGTGTCTATCACATCTCAAATGGCATTTAGCAAACACAACTAAAAAATCTTTTTTATTCTTTAGTTTACAGAAAATAATGGAATGTAATAACTCTGATAATAATTGTTTTTTAGATTTTCTGCTTACACTGATCTTGAGACATGCACTAATAAGAGCAATGCATTTGAATTTATCTTTTACTGTGATAGAATGCCAACAGAGTCGCATCACCGAAGACTTGTTGTAAGAAAAATCGATTTATTTTTCGAGCAAAATCGTCTTTGTATGGCAAAAATCTTGCTTTTAGCATTATTACTAAAATAACTTCGGTTTTTACAGCTTCGGCTGTGATTCTTGGTTTCACTCTATCATCCAGTTTATATTAGCAGATGATTTTCATATAGTGCAAGGATGATAGATTTATCTAAATTAGAGCCATGAATAAACAGCACAATTTTGCTGCACTCTATGAATTATGTATGTGAATATAAGTGCGTGACTATGGCTCAAAAGACGATTAACACCTGCAATCACATTCACAAAAAGTCAATACTGTCATTGAATTGTGAAGAATAGAACTGTACAACGTGTATTTCCCTTAATATTTAATAGAGTTTTGGGAAACCTTTGCTGTATCGAAGAGGTATAAAATACAATAGAATGTACTACTTAGAAATTGTTTAGATCTATTTTCATTTTTTTCGTGCTAATTAATTGTAGTTGCGTAGGCAGAAAAACTTTGTAGAGGGGACTCAGTCCTCGATTTTTCTAAAGCAGAACATAAGTTATTTGAGTTCTCCTGAAACAATGCAATGAACATCATAAAAAAGTTTAAATATATCCAGTTCAATGGGTGTGGGTATGGGTGTGGGTGTGGGTGTGGTTGAAAAACAATATTCACACCCATACCCACAACCACACTCACCACACCCACCCACACCCACACCCACACCCACACCCTCTCGAATTTCTATAATCATTTTAATTAAAATATTTTCTTTTCTTAGTACTGGAATATTTTCATTAATTTGTTATATCTGAATTTGTTTAGATTTTACTCGTTAGTGATGAATAATTTATATATTGTAAATTAAAGAGAGAATAGTTCTGCATTATATTGTCGTTTTAATTTGTTTTCGATTATATTCACTACAATGCTATTGTTTTTTTTTATTTTTTTAAATTAACTATAATATTTCTGATGTATCGTAAACACTTAAAGCGAAATATCAGCTGACAGATTTTTCTTGTTATCTTACTTTATATTTCTCTTTGTTTCTTAATTTTTTTCTACTTTGAAATAATACAATAAGAAAGTCTGTTCTATTTACAATGGTTAGTTGTATGTATCAGTATCCGTAAGATTTCCACCTTTTATTTGTCAAGACAGTGTGCTGTTGTTTATCCGTCTACATATGGGTATGACTTATAACCAGCGACTATTCTTATTTTCGTTCTATATACTTTAATTCGTTAAAATGAATGAATATCCATGTAAAAATGCGCTTATTTGACGAATTGGCCTATTACGTACATAAAAACATGTTCATTGACCTAATATTTTCGTTAAATTCGTGAAAATGCGTTATGATAAAAAACAACCCGTTTACACTCATTGATTTTTCTTATTTGTTGAGGAAACGAGTTTTAAAGCGATTTTTTCTTCACTGTTCAACACCAATCCGTCAAAACAGCGTTGTTGCCATTTATCTGTCTGCATGGGTAATAACGTTACGACTGGGCAATGCCCTAGTCTATTTGGAGTTTAAGCAGTACTGTTACAGAATTTTTTTTCTTTTTTTCTCACTATTAGTAGTTTTGCAGAGCGAAACGTCCTCTGTCAAATGAGTTTAGAGTAGAGTCTTTGAATTACCTTGCCATTCTTAAAAAAGAAATGTTCAATACTCTTTAATGATTTTAACTAAATTTGAATGTATATATATATATATATATTCAATGATTGTTCGTTTCTGGATATTGCAGTAAGAAGACAATAATAAAGCTAGAATCT